TCTTCTCTAAAAAAGACAACTGCCCATATCCCCTGCCTCGACAACAAATGAATTGAAATTCTTGTTCATTCTAATACCGACTCTATCATTTATTTCAAGTCGCCTCTTTACAGATGGTTTGAGTACTCGGTTGCATCTATAAAATCAGGATTTTTTTGGACTTAATCCATGATTATGTTCAAGCACCATAGATGTCAATCTCTATTTTCCGTCCACTAATAGGGTTGCCCTAAGCTTAGATTTATAATTTGTCTTTGATATTGGTTGTGCTTTAAGCAGGTTCTTTGCAGTGCTTCATGACTGTAGAAAATGTATTCAAGTTGATGAAAACCTGAAGGCTTGAATTTCTATTATCTCTTTGGTGTACATATACAAGGACTTTAAATAGACTTTGGATAGGACTGTAATTGTTATCCTATTTAGTTACCTATACAACGTATGTATTCAAAATTGAAAAGTTGTTAGCTATACTCCTAAAGAAGTGGAGTTTGTTGAGGTGTTTTAAACTCCTTAAACATAGGAGTCTTCTCCGATTGAATTGGTCTCATTGACCTGTTCTTTGACACGCCCCCTCAATCGAAAGGGTAAGGAACGAACCCTGAGATTGTCACACAAAAGAAGAAATCGAGTAGAGGGCAGCGGCTTCGTAAGTGCGTCTGCATACTGATCCTTGGTAGAAACAAATTGAACATGAAGTTGACCACGAAGAACTTGATCACGAACACAGTGAAAGTCAATTTCAATATGTTTCGTGCGAGCATGAAATAGAGGATTACTGGTCAAATAAGTAGCTCCTATGTTGTCACACCAGAGAATCGGAGAATGGACAATTGGAACACGAAGATCAGTTAGCAAAGACTTTATCCACTGAATTTCTGCAGCAGCATTTGCAAGAGCCTTATATTCGGCTTCAGTGCTACTGCGAGCAATCGTTTGCTGTTGTTTGCAGCCCCATGAAATTAAATTGTTGCCCAAATAAATACAATAAGCACCAACTGATCTTTTGTCATTATGATCGGATGCCCAATCTGCATCGCTGAATGTTTGAAGCTTAAGATCAATAGTGGGTTGTATCAATAAAGCATGAGAAATGGTGTTCTTCAAATAACGCAAGATACGTTTGACGGCTGCCCAATGTGGCTCCATTGGATTTTGCATATACTTGCTGACTTTATGGACTGCAAAAGCAAGTTTAGGCCGAGTAAAAGAAAGATATTGCAACCCTCCAACCACACTTCAATACAAATGAGGGTCATGAAAAGGTATGTCATCAAATTTTGTTAAGGGCTAAGAGGTCGACATTGGAGCAACACAAGGCTTTGCTTTGTCCATTTTACTGCGTATAAGGAGATCAAGAATGTAGCGACGCTGAGATAAATACAGACCATGATCACGGCGGATGGCCTCAATACCCATAAAGAAACTAAGTTCACCCATATCTTTTACTGCAAAGTTGTCCTGCAGCAAGCTTATCACTAATGGCGTGTATATCTGTACCAGTTATAATTATGTCATCAACATAAATTAAAAAATAAATAAGAGTGGAGCCATGTTGAAAAATATAGAGGGAATGATCAGCTTGACTTCCTATAAAGCCAATGGCATGTAGCTGATCAGTCAAGTGAGAAAACCATGCTCGTGATGCTTGACAAAGACCATAGAGTGACTTTTGCAGCTTACAAACATGTTGTGAAAATTGAGGATGAATGAACCCTGGAGGCTGAGTCATATAGACATCTTCTTGCAAGAGGCCATGTAAGAATGCATTTTGTACATCAATTTGTCGAAGATGCCAACCACGAGAGACTGCTAGTGATAGAACCAACCTTATAGTGGTAGGTTTCACCACAGGACTAAATGTCTCGCCAAAATCAACACCCTCCTATTGATGGAATCCTTTGGCGACTAGGCGTGCTTTAAAACGGTCAATACCACCATCAGCTCTTCTTTTAATTCTGTACACCCATTTGCATCCAACAAGATTGGCATTAGGAGGTTTAGGAACCAAAGTCCAAGTTCCATTAGCTAACAAGGCATCAAACTCTTTATTCATAGCCTCTCGCCAATTAAGATGTTTAACTGCAGTGGAATAGCAAGTGGGTTCTTTTTCTTGTGGTTGGATTGTGGCCATAAGTGCTTTTGGAATGGGATATCGAATATGGGAGTCAGAAGCTAATTTTGGCTTGTGGATGTTGTTTTTGCTTCGTGTAACCATGGAGTGTAAATTTTGATATTGCTGGCGAGGTGGAGAAGGTAAGGGAGGAGGTGCTGGATTGTCTTTATGCTGAGGTAGAGTAGTATCCCTGGCAAGAGAAGCTGAAGCAATATGAAGATCAGTTTGAGGACTAGAGGTCGAGGCCATATGCAGAGGGCTTGGTGCAGCAAGCTGAACACTTGTACTTGTAAAAACAAAGGAGCTAGAGTGTGATAGGTTGAGATTTGGTGGGAGTACAATAGGAGCAGATTTTGGAGTAGACTCGATAAACTCAGGGACTATATAGGGATAAAGAGATTCATCAAAGACAACATGACGTGATACGAAGATTTTGCCGGTAGATACATCTAAATACTTGTATCCTCGATGACCAACACTATACCCAATAAATATGCAGGTTTTAGATCGAAAGTCCATCTTATGTCAATTAAATGGACGTAAATAGGGCCAACAAGCGCAACCAAAGGCACGCAAAAAAGTATAATCTGGTTTGTGATGATGGACCATTTCATATGGTGATCGATGTTGTAAAATTGGAGTTGGCAATCTATTGATAATAAAAACTGCAGTTAAGAAGGCATTTTCCCAAAATATTTTTGGTAAATTAGAGTGAGCAAGTAATGCCAAACCAACTTCAACAATTTGCCTGAGGAGCCTTTCAATGGCACCAGTTTGCTGATGGGTAGATGGACAGGTTAGTCAATGACTAATTTCTTGATTTTGTAAATGTTTAGTTAGGCTGCGATATTCACCTCCCCAATCGGATGGGAGAGCCTTTATTTTGGTATCAAATTGGCATTCTACAGCAGCTTGAAAACATATAAAGACTTGATATGCATCAGATTTGAGTTTCAAGGGAAAAATCCATAAGAATTTAGTAGCATCATGCAGAAAACTTATGTAATAACGTGCACCAGATGTTGGTAAAACAGGGGCTGGCCCCCAAACATCTGAATAAAGTAACTCCAATGGTTGCAAAACAGAAACATGCACTGTTTTAAAGGGCATAGCATGGCTCTTAGCCAGCTGACAGTCAGAACAAATAGAAGTATTTTTATTCTGGACAGGAAATAAAATAGCCTTATTGATAACTGGTAGAGAAGCATGACGGAGACGGCGGTGCCATATATTGGCAGATACACGAACACTAGATAAAGCTTGTGGCTGAAGACGAGCAAGAGAAGCCAAGAAGTTGTAAAGACCATTACTGAGTGGTCCTCGATGCAGGATGTTCCCCAAGTAATCCTTCACAAGAAAGAAAGAAGCATGAAATTCAAAGAAAACATTATTGTATAGACAAAAACGCTGAACAGAGAGAAGATTTTTCTGAATATCGGGAACAAGCAAAATTTGATTAAGTACAAAAGACTTGGAAGGAGATGAGAGAGTGGAAGTTCCACTTTGTACTATTTTCAGACCTGCACCGTTAGCCACCTGGATATGATCTTGACCGCCATAGTCTTCATTCTGAAGATGAATATTGTTCACATCATTGGTGAGATGATGGGCAACTCCTGTGTCGGGATGCCACTCATTATCAGTTTGTTGATAGTGCGCAGCAACCATAGCTTGTGGCTGATTCTTAGGAGTTGGTTGGTCCTGATAAGAGAGATTAAAACGGTGATAGCATTTTCTGGAAGTATGGCCTGGTTTGAAGCATACCTGACATATAACTGAGTTTGATGGACCCTGATCATGTTGAAACGACCACTACGTCCTCTGCCACGGTAGCCACCGCGAGCACGGTTGGAATGGGGAAAATTTGCTGCCGTGCGAAAAGTGGATTGATATTGCTGTTGAGGTTACTTGGTGGCCATGTTGATTGAAGCAGTAGTTTGAAGGGACTGATTATTGTGATTAATTCGTGACTCACAGATGAGAAGGAGTGAGTAAAGTTCCTCCAAGGTGACAGGATCAGATCGAGAAGTTAGTGTTGAAGCCAAAGAATCATATTCCTGGCCAAGTCTCGCAAGCACATAGGTGATTATGTCATCAGGTTTTAGTGGTTGTCTAGCAAGAGCAAGTTCATCAGCCATTCGCTTGATGGAGAGAAAATATGCATTAGCAGACAGAGCGCCTTTTCGAGCATTTGCCAGCTAAGTGTGAATCTGAATTGCTTTAGCACGGGGAAATTGAAGAAAAGGTTCGCTCTAGTGCAAGCCAAACCTCTCGATAGGTTGTATAAGACATGACTTGAGTGAGAACATCTTCAGTAAGTGAAGCATTAATGGTGGCGAGGATTAGAGAATCCTGACGAAGCCATTGAATATAATGAGGATTGGGGAATTTAATAATAGCACCTATGCTGGGATGAGGAGCAGCAATTTCTTGAGGTGGGGTTGGGATTATGCCATCAAGGTAGCCAAAAACAGCTTGACCTTTGAAGTAGCGTAGGGCCTGAGCTTTCCATACAGGATAGTTGGAGGAGTTGAGCTTGATGCTAATAGTAAAAGGAAGATTGGAGAGGGTTGGGACAGTAATAGTAGGATCAGTAGAATTATTTGAGGTTGAGGAGGTTGAGGAGGCCATTAAGGATCGGAAGGGAGTAGACGTTGGTCTTTTAGTAGTGCTCTGATACCATGTAGAAAATGTATTCAAGTTGATGAAAATATGAAGGCTTGAATTTCTATTATCTCTTTGTTGTACATATACAAGGACTTTAAATAGACTTTGAATAGGACTATAACTGTTATCCTACTTAGTTGCCTATACAACGTATGTATTCAAAATTGAAAAGTTGTTAGCTATACTCCTAAACAAGTGGAGTTTGTTGAGGTGTTTTAAACTACTTAAACAGAGGAGTCTTCTCCGGTTGAATTGGTCTCATTGACCTGTTCTTCGACAATGACTTTCCATTGTGAGAACAAGCAACCGTTACATACTTTATTTCTCCATCATCCCCTTTTAAAGATGTTCTTTTAGACACGGGAAAACTCATTTCCTTCCCATATGTCATATAGTATTCTACAATCTCATCAATTGTATCAAACAACATTCCAATGGTAGGCTGCTTTATTTTGTCGTCTCTATTTCTTGTTTCCTCCATTTCATCCTCATTCTTTTCTTTATTCGATTCCACACTTATAGAACCACTAGATATCTCTTCATCCACGCCTGTATAATTAAACTATCAATCAATATTATTAATCTATATCTATACTACTTCTAAAAGTATCTTGAAAGGAAAAACTTTTGTTTTCCTCTTTTATTCTCAATGAATAATCTTTTGTCAATTTCATCCATCATTTATAGGTATCATAACTGAATTGTTAACATTCTCTGTGTGAATAATAAATTATAATTAATTGAGCATTTACAATTTGGAAGTCTAAAAGACAAAGAGTAAATACATCATTAATATTTTACCTTATAAAAAATACAAAAGTTTTCTCTTTTATCCTCATTCAATAATCTTTTCATCACTGTTCAGTTTTCTAACCGATGAGGAACATTCAATCAAGAACATGTTCAAGAAGTTTAAAAGGTATTCACCATTATCTTTTTCCAGTTCTTCTCCTTCCGTCACATGCCAATTCAATGCATCGATCAAAAACCCTAGAAGTAGGTCCAATCATGATCATTGCACATCTTGGGATTTTGAGTGGATCTCAGTTGGTTCTTACAATTCATTGTCACAAATTGTATTATGGCCTTTAGATTGCTCTACTTGGTGAATAACGCAACCTTCAAGTACTTTGTTGTTGATGGCAATTTCGACAAGTCTGAGCCTGTTTATTCCACTACTATTACCACTTCTTCTTCTTCTTCTCCTCCTTCTTCTACCGGTTATACGCCGTCATCCATGATGCCGAGGTTATTGGGACCCACTGCGATTCTTGCGTTGCATGTGGAAATTTGACCAAGAAGCAGCTTTGGCTGCAAAATAGTTAAATACTGGTACAAATTCAATTCATTGTTACACCCAAGACTTGCATCCAATTACATAGAAATATTCGTTATGATTATTATTTTTTGTGGTGGTTTTTTTTTTCTAAATTAAACTTATTGCAATTGTTTTAGAATTTTTCAGTTTTTTCTATCCTTCCTGTTGTTGTTATGGGGACTTATCTTGATTCCAAAGTTAAGGCCTTCAAGGTTGGTAGTGGTGGATTTACCCAATGTGGACTGGAACTTTTACTGAACTACTGGGACTCGATAAATATCTTTGACGTTCAAAAGAATTATATATTTAATTAAATTTAAGCTACTCACGCTTTGGTAGTATCTTCAAATGCATTGTTACTTTTTTTTTCTTGTAGGGAATAGATCTTCCAATACTATTGATGTTCAAAAAAGTACACCAATGCTTGCATCGAATGAATAATACGTCACTTAGACCATAACTACTTATCACTTTTTCATTTGGTTTTACATTCTACTTTAATTTCTTTCAATGAACCTTTAATTTCTTCCAATGAACCTTGATATCATTACTTCAGTTTCATTTGGTGGAGCATCATCAGACCATTATTTTGGTGGCTGGGAAATGGTTATTGCTTTGACCATGTCCTCTGTATTTATATAATAGTCTTTTTTATAAGTAGTGATTCATATGTATTACTGTTGTATGTTCCTGCAGCTTAAAAACTTTTGGTAAATCGACCAAGGTTAGTTCACCAAGGGACTAAACAGAGTTCATCCTTGAAATTTTTTATTTTTGCAATTCATTCATTTTCATTTCCTTTTCCTTTAAATTTAATAGCAAAGGAAAGAACTCACAGAGAAAAGAGAAAATTTCAATTTTTTAGACTTATGTTGTTTAGTTTTTAATAATCTGTTTTAATTAATGAACATTTTGCTTCCTACCCAAAGAAAGTTTCTAAAAATCTGCTTGTACTTGGAAACAAATATTCTTAATTAATAGAGGACTTCATTAAGCAGATATTGTCTTTTCTTTGAACTCAACGATAGATCAACCATAGGATATTGAATTTATATTTATCTCTTCACACCATGTAGAGGTAAAGGAAAATCTTGGTTTGATTTTGAACCCCGAGGTTCTGGGCGGATTAATTGGGAGATGTTCTTGGACTGGATTGGATTGGATTGGATTTGCAAACTTGGTGGAGGTGAGAAAGTACAATTATTGCTGAAGTATAGGAGCATGTTAACAAAAAGGTTTTTGTAGTTGCCTAAACTATCTCTCTCTCTCTCGTAGATTTTATCTTTGTCCCAAATGCCTAAACTATTGTCTCTAGTGCTAAACTACTTTAAAACATTCTCATAACATCACTATAGCGATGGCACAACTTCAAGCATATGTTACTGTGAGCATATACTCTTATAACCCTTCGAATTTGTCATTATGTTTCATATTGTGGCTGCCATTTTCTCCAATGGTGTATTATATTCACAGTTTTACCTTCCTAATTGGCCTTTGTGTTGCATTTCGGTGCTTATCTTGGAAATGAAGTTGGGTTAGATATTTATTCTCCAGTGGTTGTTAATTAGTATCTTGATAGTTTGTACTCTAGACAAAAGAATCATGTCAATTGCATTCTATATTTGTGTCCATTTGTATTTATATATTCTGTGTCAAAAGGTGTCTACTTGTTGGTTCTCCTCTAATCAACACACTATGCTTCTATTAGTTGCTCTTATTCATTCCTTATTTTTCCTTATTTTCTTATTAATCGCTCTTATGTTTTTAGTTTGGCCAGCACTTGAATGTGACATTGCTCTGATACACTATGGGAGGTGTCACCAAAGGCTAAAAAGGGTGAAGAAAGGAGAGAAGTTCCATGATATCGTTTAAGCGCACAAAATTATAACAAAGCTATGGTAATGAAATGAGATGTTTCGTTTTTATAAGGAAATGACATAAATATTCAAGCACTCAATAGAGTGCATAATTTCATTCCCAAATTTATTGTATTTGTGTACATCAGAAATTGATTTAATGTTTAACCCACTTATTTTGAACCCTTCAATATTGATCTATGTTTAGTTCAGTCATTTTAGAACCAAATTTTTTTTTATTAAAAATTCAAAAAATTTAATTCGAAAATAGTTCACGTACAACGCACGTGTGCATCAATTAGTTACCAATAAAAGTATATTAACATGAAAAACTTCTGATTCACTATTTTGCCCTTATAAAAAATTATAAAGGCTAATATGTCCTTTTGTGTTTAAATATATAAATTATCAATATACTCATTTGTATTTAAATAACAAACTAATCTCTAGCATATCATATAAATCTCTCTATCTTTACAAAAATTTTGAATGATCATGTTATGCTTAACATGATATATAAAAATAATATTATTCTTTTTTTCCAAAAACTCAATATTAAGACATGTTGACAACTCTATTGACACTATCATCTCCGAGGCCAAAAAATGATATATTTATCTTATCTCTTTATTCACAATCCAAATAATTTGCTAAAAAATTATTGATGCACAAAGTAAAAATAAGAAAGAAAAAAAGAAAAAAAAATCTATAAACCTTACTACTTGGTAACTCGAATGAAAGAATCATAAAAACTGGGTTCCTTGGGTGTTTATAGTTACTAGTTGATACACATGTGTGTTGTACGTGGATTATTTCAAGTTATTTACTATTTTTATTTACTATTTTTATAATAAAATATTGTTTGGTCAAATTATAGTTAAATGGCCATACTAAAATTTTTAAGAATGCAGTGTTCATGTGTGTTGCATATGAACTTTTTAAAATTAGTATAATAATTTGTAGTTTTTTTAGGCATCTTACAAATATCAAAACCTATATTTTATTGTAGATCCGTAAACCAATGACTCAGTTGTATAGTAGAGGTCAGACCAAATACAAGCAATTAATTATCACAATACAAATTAAAACAATCAAGGATAACAATTCATATGTTTGACAAATAAATAATGATGCATAGATCTAAAATTCTTAGAAATTTTGGATGGGCCCAGACCAATAGTTCAACCTGCAAATTGGCTGATGAATAGTGAAATTCCCTTTTTCAAATTAAAAAGTAGCACATATACGTAACTTTAAAGAAACTGTTTAAGTCTCATTCTTCAAATTATGTACCACAACCATACTGGTAAAAGTCAACCAAAGCTAATTAAAATGTCCAACAAACATCTCTACTAAGATGTTTGGTTGTAATTCATATTCATGATAATTATAACACCATTTTTTTATTGTTATTACTCTAAACAAGCAATTTATTAGACTTTTTAACAGTAACCAAATTCTAATTATTCTTCTGAATGTTAATACACATGGTGTGTTTGTGTTTGATTTCTCCGTGAAAATTCAATTTTGTTGGTATCATAAAATCTAGGATGAATTCGCAAAAAAAAAATTATAATAGATATTAGTAGAAGAATAATACCACAAAAAGTAGAGATGCACCAAATGTTGAAATGCAGAGAGAATTAAATACGAGGAGTAGTGCATGCTTAGAGCAGCAAAGAAAGAAGGGAACATCGAGGGTTTCTGGAAAAGGTAAAGAAGAGAGAGAAAGAGGTTTATTTGGAGTAGGGAAGATGAAGATGAAATGATAGGGGAGAGAGAAGATTGGGAGGCGTAGATTTTTTTTTTGGAACATGAGAAGGCTTAGGTTTATTTTGGCTTCAATGTTGAGGGATAAGAATGAGATAGTTGTGATTTTGGAAGATAAAAATGAAAAAAAAAATATTTTCCAAATATACTCGCTTTTTAAAGTAGTATAAATGAAGAGAATACAAACAATTTAAGTATGATAAATATTAGATAATATTTAATGTAGCTACATAATTAGATTTTTTTTTATGTATTTTAACAAATGTTTCAACAAAAACTTTTACATGCAACGCACGTCGTACATTGCTAGTGAATTAAATGAATAGCAATATAAGGTAATTAATTTAATTTTCTATGAGCAATATTCAATGACCATAAAAAAAAAGTGTTTACAATCAGCTATACACATTCTCTTTCATGAGTTAAAGTATAAAAATTTCTTCTTTTTTCCAAACATGAGATGATTAGAATGTACTAACTCACAACTTATATTTGGATACTCTATTGATTTATCACGTGCCAATTAAATAAATATAAAAAATATCAAATACCAAACCCTAAAACATTAATCTATGTGTGCACACTAAGATATCGAATAAAATCGAGATGGAATTCATTATTTTTTGTTATTGTATTTGAATATTATATATTTTTATTTGTATTTGGACATTCTAACAGTAAGGGGTACCTCCTCCATACGTTGAGAAGACATATATAGTACGGGGGAGACGACTCTCTCCCGATGTGGGACGAGAGGTAAAGGCTACTGGATGATCTAGACACCCAGGTCAGCTAGAATCCTTCTGTGGAGGGTGATACCCCTTACACTAACAATTTATCAACTTCAAAAATACAAGGAAAATATCAAAAATCAAACCCTAGGAAACCAATTGAAATGTATGTGCATACTTGACATATAGATCAAAAAAGTCTAATGTATTTTGTTCAATTGGGTTCCTAGGGTTCGATTTTTGATATTTTCCTTATACTTTTGAAGTCGATAAATTGTTAGTGTAAGGGGTATCACCCTCCACAGAAAATGTATGCGCCTTTTTGTAAGGGGTATCACCCTCCACAAAAGGATTCTAGCTGACCTAGTGTCTAGACCACCCAGTAACCTTTACCTCTCGTCCCACATCGGGAGAGAATCGTCTCCCCCCTGCCATATAAGTCTTCTCAACGCAGGGGGGAGACGACTCTCTCCCTATGTAGGACGAGAGGTAAAGACAATTGGTTGGTCTAGACACCCAGGTCAGCCAGAATCCTTCTGTGGAGGGAGATATCTCTTACACCAACAATTTATCAACTTCAAAAATATAAGGAAAATATCAAAAACCGAACCCTAGGAACCCAATTGAAATGTATGTGCATACTTGACATATCATTTGAAAAAGTCCGATGTATTTTGTTCAGACTAGTTGTGTGAGGTAAAATGGCAAACAAAAATCACCACAAAAAATTTGAAAACTAGACCGTGTTCATGTCGATTGAGATTTACTAGGAAAAAAATGATTTGATGAAAGTAAAAACAAATTTTGGCGTCTTGCACTACAACCAAGGAAGTAAAAAGGTGCTAAAGCAACTAACGGGTTGGGTTGTATTTTGATGGAAGCACTTTGACAATGTTACTCAATTTGAAATGGTTGGTTTCATAAGGTTGTAGGCCCCATTTAACAGTTGGTCATTCCATGCCATTTGGTAGGGATGTTAGTCTAATGAGCCTGAATCGAGTTCGAGCCGAGCTTGAAAAGCTTGTTTCTTAATCGACTTTTAAAAATTGTTCAAGTTCGGCTCGTTTAGGAAACGAGCCAAACCTGAACGAGCTGAACCCAAGTCGAGCCCGAGCCGAGCCCGAGTATTTGCACATAAACGAGCCGAACTTGTTGAGTTTAAGCCGATTTTGTAGGACTTGTTTTCTAAACGAGCCTAAAAACTTGTTCAAGTTCGGGTTTATTTAGAAAAAGAACCGAGCCTGAACGAGCCGAACTCAAGTCAAGCTCAAGTAGCTCAGTTTGATTAACAGTCCTACCATTTGGTGTAAGTTTTGGTCACCATAACATTATTGAACAGATTTTCTATATTTTTAACTACTTTATTTAAATATAATGTCTCATTTTTTTTGTATTATTTTTCTTTGAGAGTAGTGAGAGTGAGGGAGAGAAATAAAGAGAATGGAGGAAAAAAAAAGGAATGGAAGAGAGAGAAAATATTATGAAAGTACTTATACATGTTGCTATAATATTACTGTAGCAAAATTTTATTTTAGATGATTTGGCGATATTCTTTTGAAATGGAATTTTAGGATAAAATAGCTAATTTTTGAAGTTTTTGTGTATTTTAGTTCATTTCTTGGATATGCTCTAAGGGGTCGTTTGATTGTAGTATTAAGAGGTGTATTAAGGAGTCATAACAAATTAAAACTCTCTAATCCAATCTTATACTGTATTTGGTTGCAAAAAAATATTTCGTATTATATACAATAGTCTTATTTTAGGTGTTAATCTAAATAATACATGATGATGTACAAAAGTGAATTTATGCATCCCATGTTAAGTATTTAATACAATAATATATGAAGAGAGCCAACACAAGAAAAACATAGTTTAAGTAATTCGGTCAATGTAACATGCTTCATTGTGAAGGACTAGGATAACCTGAGTATTTTATTACTCCAAGAAGTAGACGGTGCTCAAGTGTGAGTGATAGGTATGAGATGTCCCCTTTGTGTAGATGAGACTTATAATTTTTACGTGCCTCCTAACAGATGGAGGCGCCACATCCGTAACAGATAGGTTAATTTGGTGGAGATGACACCATTCTCACAACGGATGGGATAATTGCATGGAGATCTTTTTATGAGTTACAGACTGGGTTTCAGGATAATGTGACTAATACTCTAGGATAGTATGACTGACTCCTTGACTCTAGGATAGCATGGCTCCAAGATGGCGTGACTGACTCCTTGAGTCTAAGATAACATGGCTCCAGGATTGTGTGGCTAAATCCTTGACTCTAGGATGGCGTGGTTGACCGGGTTATGGTGAGTCTGAGTAGATCAAGATCTCTTCCGGGCCAGACTCACTGGGCCTAATTTGGGCCTGGGCCGTTATCTGAGTTGGAGCTTGGACTGAGCCCATCAATACACTCTATCCATACTATTGAGCGGATTATAATACCACTTGGGGATGTGGTATTTTAGTCTAGTTCAGGTGTATTAAGTTATAATTTTTTTATTTTACCCACCAAATAAACAAAACCATTAAATAACTAGACAAAATTGATGATTATTTTTTGTCAATATGTAATTAAGACTCTATTATCCCACCCTTATCCAATGTTTTACCAAACACTGAATTACAGTAAATATTAACTTTATCCTATATTTAATATTATGTTTTATTCACTTATACAGAATTGGTGCATATTAACTAATAAAATCTTTTTTGTTACTATACGACAACCAAACGAAGAGGTAAAAGAAATGGTTCCACTGGCTCGAATCCCACATGGATCGACTATAACAAACCCTCAGAGATGGTGGATGGATTGAGAGCTTAGTTAAGTACTTACAAAGATTTGATGAAAACAAGGGGTTGTTCAAATGGTAACAAAAATGAGATGTTCTGAGTTTGAATATTGGTAATTTTTAGGGTCAAGTCATAAGATATTTATCAATTATAAATATTCTAGTATCGTCATGGATGACTTGTCTTTGATCAATCAGGGAGAGAATTAGCATGATACGCGTAAGTTGGTCCATATACTCCTATCAGTTGAACAAAAAAAAAACAATCTATGATCCCCCCTCTTTGTTATGAAATAAATGAAAAGAAGTGTTGAGGGGGGAAAAATTAGGGGGTCGTTTCGTAACGTTTTTATTTTTGCGTTTTCAAACAATTGTAAAATAGAGACAATTGTTGTTTTGTTTTGTTATAAACACTGAAAACATAAAAACATATTTGTGAGTCATTTGTATTTATCAAATTATGAAAATAAAAATAGAAAACATGTTTGACAACCACTTCAAGTTATATCCTTAACAAATTGAATTAATTTGATAAATTAATGATACGGTCAACAATCCTAAATGACAATTCAATCAATCACAAATGACAATTCAATTCCAAATGATAATTTAATCAATTCCAAATGACAAATTTAATCCCAAATGACAATTCAATCAATCCTAAATGACAATTCAACAATTCCAAATAACAATTCAATTAATTCTAAATGACAATCAATCTCAAACACAACACACACAGACCACAATACACACACACACACAGAATGAACACAACAAACAAGCGCACACACACACACATACTCAACACAACACACACAAAGACTCGTCATTCACACACACACACACACACACATAAATTCAACACAACACACACACACACACAAGCACAAAACTGTGTATGTATGCACAAATTTGTACATATATACACAGAGAGTGTCTTCGTCTTATGGGTTTCACAGAGAACGAGAGCGAGATAGAGAGAAAACATCGTCTTATGGGTTTCACAGAGAGTATCGTATAGAGAGAGAGAGACAATGAAAGAGCTCATTTGTCTTCCACAAGGAGCATAGAGAACACAATAGAGAGAGTAAGGCAGTGATGGTTCGTGGTCTGATACTGAGAAAGGAGAGAGGAGAAAGAGAGAGAGAAGCGATAGGGAGGAGAGAGGTGATAAAATAGGTTTTTATACTTCTACAAAAAAAAACATTGTTTTGCTGTTAAGAGGACTCGAAGTCCGGATCTCATTAATTCCCTACTCTCTTGTACGTGTTGTCTCTGTTTTCGATATTTCTTGGAATGTCTTTCTTTTGTTCCCAAGACAACTGAGGTGAAACAAAAACAAAAACAATTACCAAACACGTTTTTGTTTTTTTTTTTTTTGACAAAAATTAAAAATAAGACACAAAACAAGAAACAAAAACATCAAACAAACATCCTCTAGGTGTTTGACTTTTTTTTTTTATCATAGTAATTGAGCTATCTCAATTGACCATTTATTTACAAAATCTGATCAAGGCGTCAATATAGTATAAAAAAAAACTAGTCATAATCCGTGCTTGAATACACGAAAGAATATAAAATTTCGAGTGCCAAAAAAATCGATCTCACTATATTAAATAACATATTTTTTTCCCTTCATTTTTTTAATTACATCATTTAAAATTTATTTTTACCCATTACTTTTTTAAAAATATTAACAATTTTCTCAAAATATATAATTTGACAAAATTTTCTCAACATGTGTATACTATCGTGTATGGATAATGTCAAAAATAAAAACTATGTTAAACTACAAATTAATTAAATATTAAATGATTGAACATATGATAGAAATAAATGATGTGATATTTTTGAGAGGAAAAATATGTAGGGGATAAAATTCAAATTGTTAATCCTTCGTTTGGTACGACAGAAAAATAGAAGGATGAAAAGTTGGAAGGATGAAAAGTTGGAGGGATAGATAAAACATCATGTTTAGTAAGGAAGGAACGTAAGAAGTACGTAAAAGTGAATGAATTAACTTTCCTTCTAACTCACCAAAATCAATTCCTCTAAAATCGGAAGGAAAATGGATGAAAGTTAATTATTTGTGTTGAGATGTATCTTATTTGTCTATATATATTATGTCTACATTAATTTTATATAAAAATATAATGATAAAATATGTATATATATATATATATATATATATATATATATATATATATATAATATAATATATATATATTTATATATATTAGGGATAAAAATTTTTAACTCAACACGATAACACGACTCAAACTCGATATAAATTTTATGACACGAATTTGAAAATGACCTGACACCCGAATAAGAAATATAAAATGCTCATAATTTTATGACTCAACACGAATCTAAAACTACACGACTCGATTGTCAACCCTAATTTTAGCCATCACAAAAAAAAAATTAGTCATTTTTATTTTCCATCCATCCAACTAAACACAAAGGAAGGAAAGCGTATTCTTTCTACTTTCTATCCTTAAAATATAGAAAGTGTATTCCTCTTACTTTCTATCATTCCTACTTTCCATCCTCCCAACCAAACAACGAAACATAAGTGCTTTATTATATAGAATAGGGTATCTCTCAGAATTATTAGAAACTACAAGGGGTGTCACTAAATTTACCCAATAAGCAAATGCTACAGCTTTTACTCAGTATTGTCTTCTCCCTCTCTAAAACCCTGACTAAGGGTATTTCGTTTCCCGCCTTCTCTCTCTCTCTGTCACTCTCTCAGTTTTATTATCTAGGGTTATTGTCCAAATCACCAAGCAGAAATCAACAGCAAGAATGGTGTCCCCAAAGCAATTACTCTCCACCATCGAATCGTCCCTTCTCGGCCCCACACCTCCGTCGCCGTCGCAGAGAATCGAGCTCATCCACGCCATTCGCCACTCTCTCTCGTCTTTCAAATCCCTCCTTTCCTATCCGGTACCCCCAACTCTCTCTCTCTCTCTCTGTCTCACTATATATATATAAGTACATAGATATATGCATAACAAAGAATACATGTATCAAATACGTAATGAGTACAGTAGGGCCATTGTATTTGATTCTATATGTAGCCTCCGAGGCCATCGGACCGAACTCAAGTGCAGTCGAGAGAAGCAAGGCTTCCGGATTCTGGACCGATCTCACTTGATGATCAGGATGTTAAGATTGTGAGTACATATCACCTTCGATTGTTGATAGTTTTATTCTCTCTCTCTCTTCTCTCTGTGATGGAAGCAAAGATGTTTTCTTTTTTGAATGTTTTCAGTGAATTTCCTGTCCAATGAATAGGTTAACTCTGTTCAGTTCCCATTTTGTTCTAGATTTAGTTCTTTGGATGGTAGCCACCTTTTATACGGAGTTAAAGATTTGTCTGGAGTAAAGCTAGTTAACTACGATAGTATCTTTGGAGGAAAAAAAAACATAATTCATGTGATGCTATCAGTTGAGAAAGCAATAAATTTTGGGTTTTCTTATCACCTGCAGTATTATGAATGCCATGGTTTTGTTTGTCAGGGATTTGGTTTATTTTGCTTGTCTAGTTCTATGTTTTGCATTGCTTCTGTTTTACCTTTTTTGTTGCTGATAACCTGCAGGAAAAAAGAAAGAAAAATGAAATTTTATGATATTGAATTGTGTACTTCTGAAATTTATTTTCCTTCTTTTAAGAATTTGTATTTGATTCTTGCACTGATGTATTTTGACTTCTCTTCAACATTTATGTTTTTTATTTTGAAAAAGATCTAACATTATGCTCAATTTTAGGCTTTGAAATTGAGTGATGATCTCCATCTTAATGAAATAGACAGTGTGCGTTTGCTTGTTTCTGCAAACCAAGAGGTAAATACTCTTATCTTTGTTTGTTCTATTTATTCTTCATCGGAATTATCATATTGAAACATTAATCTTGTCATGCCTGGTCAATATTAATCTGTTTTTCCTATCAGTGGGGCTTATTGGGACGAGAGCCTGTAGAAATTTTGCGCCTTGCAGAGGGGCTTTGGTATACAGAGAGAAGAGATCTTATAACAGCACTTTACTCACTATTAAGGGTATCACTTCTTTGGTCTTTGTTTCATCATCATCATCTGTTTTTCTATGTTATTCAGTCCTTTCCTCTCTTCCTTTTCATCTTCTTCTAAGTTTCAATTGGTGGATTTTTGCAGGCTGTCGTGCTTGACCAGGGTCTCGAAGCTGATATTGTGGCCGACATCCAGAAATACTTGGAAGATCTTATTAATGCTGGGCTTAGACAACGGTTGATTTTGCTTATAAAGGTTCGTTCATTCACAGTGATTACTACTATATTTCACCCTAAGATCACAGTGGTTCTTGAGTGATCGCACTCGTGGCCGTGTTACTTGCTGATTTTACTTAATTAAAAAAAAAGGTTACTCTTGTTATTTTTAATGTCTTATAGCATTCCTTCAATCGTTTAATGGTGCAATAAAAGGAATAATGTCAGTTAACAGAAAGAGGATGCACATGATCAATTTGTGTAGCATCAGTAAAATTATATGATTGCATACTATTAATTAGATCTCAACAGCTTTGTTTGGATGCATGGATTCATTTGATTCTTTATTTGAGTTGAAGTCGAACTAAGCATATGTTTGTTTCCCTTTTTCAAAACATTGCTGTGAGATTGTGGGGGTTTGGCATATGCCTTAATTTTTTGCTAGACAAAATGGGAAATTCAACATAAAACCAAGTAGAGAATTAACATTATCTGCATGAGGATTATGAAGGTAATGCTGTATTTTGTCCCTCAAAGACAAATATTTCAGAGGATGTAGATGAACATTGCTTAGGAGTATGATGTTGGTTGCCTTGGTACGTCGTTCTTTATTCAAAGATCCTGAAATTGGTGGGAAAAAGGATGGAGCAATTTGCAACGACCCTTTTATGAGGAGGGTTGGGAGAGGAGTTCAATTACCCTTTGGTAGGTTACCTCTCCACATTAAGGGGTAACTGACAAATTGGGATGGTGATATTGTTAAAAATGGGATTGAATATATAGATTTGGTTATGAGTAAGATTACTTTGTGAAGAAAGTTGCTCTGCAAATCACGGGAAGCTTTGGGTGGTGGTGGTGGAGATGAATGGTATCCATGGATTGTTTTTGTGTTAGATTAGAGGATAGGATTAGAGTGGATTTGGCCATGTTTTTAGGATCTGATTGAATCTGTTAAAAATGGACTTCTTATTTGATGTCCAATGGTTTGGGAGTGGACAGTGTTAATCAAAAGTGACTTGATAATTATTTGATTGAAATTGAACAATTTTCAATCAATTTGTTAGTCTCTTCCATGGAACTCTTGATGAAGGGTGCTTTAGGAAAATCAATTTACCCACGATTACATCATTAGCAAAACCTATATTAGAGGGGTTCAATTATAAGATTTTTGATATTTGTGAAATCAATTAAATCCTTATCCAATGCAAAGGTTTGATCTTCCTAGGATTACACATCAGGTATTGTTTACCCAATCATGCATCCTCTTATTCAGCAATTAAATGCGGCTAAGATGTTACTTAGTTGGAAGTAATCATGTTAGCGTATGATTAGTTTGTTAAATATCCTGTTATTAGTGAGAAAGGGTAATAGCTTGAGTCTATGTCATGGACTTATGGGTAGAGGTTCTCCGAATTAAGTTTTTGGCACTTTTACGTAACAACAGTTGTTGAGGATGCAATGACGTCACTATATGTTGATTACACTTTAAATGGGTGGCTTGGCACATAAGATTCAATATCACTATGTGCATCATGGCTCAAAGTCGCTGTATCGGCCACTGACTCTAAGGGTACTATAACACATAGGTCGCAACGTTGTGGCACGGTATCATCCGATATGCACAAAATGCTAGATGAAATGCCTAAAAGATTCATAAAAAAATATCAAAAATATAAATAACAAAATCCATTAGTCATATGTTCAAAAGTATGTATCGCGGTTAGTGTTTTGGGGAAAAAGAGTGAGATGCTCTTGTGTTCTTCAACAACCGAGTTAAAGTAAAGAGTACCTTCCAAAGTGCTATTTTGTCCTTTGTTGGGAGCCACTGGGAAGATTTTGTTGATTATAATTCCGTAGAAGAAGAAAATGTGCACTCTTCGGTGCTATATGTTTGAAGAGGCAGTGGAAACTGTGAGCCGTTCTTTTAATCGTTTCAGAGGGGCAGGGAGGGTGGTCTTTATGGTCATAGCAGATTGTAGTGACAGCCTGACAGGTCTTACTAGATTAGTAGAATACTCAATTGGCAGTTGCTGAGAAGGAACAATTCAGAGGATAATGAAGGTATAATGTGCTGCCCAGCTTTGGCTTATGCATTGTATTGGGATATGGAAAAACTGGAGGTATCAGTAAGGTTTTTACCATAGTTATCAAATCGTGTATCGGAAGGCGTATCGTAAGATACAAATATTGTATCGTATCGTGTATCGTATCGTGTATCGTAAGATACGATGCAATTTTAAATAAATAATAAAAAAATATATATACCTTTGAAAAAAAGTCATACACTCATAAAAAATATAGCATTTCATTAATACTCCACCAACTATTCAAGTTATCAACATAATCCACTACTATTATAATGCAAAGTTCACAAGCATAGTTCACTAATTCAAACTTTAAACACCAAAGAGACTTCTAATCCAAATTTCTAACATCCATTTTGAACTCAATCTTCAATTTCAATTGAAAATGCATCATCATCATCATCATTGTGATCGGATGCCAACAAGTCTTCACTTGTCGTTTTTTTAAAAAAAAAATCAGAGCACAAAACGACGTCGTTTTTAAAAAAAAAAAAAAAAAAAAAAAAAAAAATTGCACGTATCGTGCGTATCGTACCGATACGTATCGTATCGTAAAAACGTATCGTGTATCGGACGATACAACGCAAAAACGATACATAACTACGATCCGTATCGTTTTAGGGCTGTATCGTAACGTATCGTACGATACGTATCGCGTATCGTACGATACTAACAACTTTGGTTTTTACTATGTCCTGTTATTTTTGTTTTGCCTTTTGCTTAATGTTCTTTTTTATTGTTCTCATTGTGGAATTTTTTTAACAGCTGTTTTTATTTCTGGGTTGTTTGTTTTTTTTTTTTTTTGAGGGGGGGGGGGGCAACCAAATACAATACAGCTGGATGAAACATTTTATAAGTCACAGAGCCACTTGTCCATTATTATTTTGTTTGATGACTTGGTTTTCTAGCATTTGTGGAGAATGTGTTCTGCTTTTTTGTAGTTGACGGAGAGGTCTTGCTTTGGGATTAATTGCGATTACATGGATATGTTCTCTTTTGATTCTTAATTACTGAAATAAAAAGAAAGTTTTACCACCTACTATCGTATTAAACAAGTAATTGATCAAAATGGTGTATGTTGCGAGTCATTTTTCAGTTTTTAGTGTCCTGGTGCAGATAGTATTCATAATGCAGATGTTACGGCATGCTTCTAATGGAAAGAATATATCTTGTGTTTCCATTTGTGAGCTGTAATCGAAGCTGGGGTGCCTATAAGCTCTTTTTAAGTTGAAATTTTATGTGTTCTGTTATGGTTGGTTTTTATCGATAATTTTCTTCACAAAATCGTTATGTTCACCTCTAAGAAGCACGGACACGGATACGGGACATGAATACGACACGACATGGACACGCCGACACAAAATTTTTCAAAAAAGTAGGACACGGACACGTTAGCGATACGTTAAATAATATGTATTATATATATATTTATATAAAATCATGTGATAAAATAAAAATATTATCATAATAATCTTTTAATTCATTATTTTCCTAATTTTAAAAATTTACACTATGATATCATTGCATGAAAAGTATAATATAAGATATATTGATACACATACAATATTAACATCCATGATTCAATAATCAATGACTTCTACAACTTTTACTTTAAAAATATTTCATTTTGTAATGCTAATTTTCATCAAATTCCAAGAGCTCCAATTTTGTAATCCTATTTTTTCTCACATTACTTTCATATTAAAAGACTATTCCATTTGTATATAAGTTTGTATTCATATCCAAAATTATATTATATTCATGTCCTCTATGCAATGTAATTATTATAACTTCTTTTATATTATGATTGTGACTCATATCCCTTTAAAATTATAAAAATAACTCCTAATTATAAAATTATTTGAAAAGTTCTCAAAAAAATTGAAAATAAATCTCAAAACGTGCCCCCCCAGCCTGTCACAACGCGTTGGCCACGTGTCTAATACTTGTCCTAAAAAAACTTTAATAATAAAAAAATCGGACACTCATTTTAACGTGTCCGACACGTGTCCATGTCCCAGATGTGTCCGACACCGACACTTTGCCCAAAATGAAGTGTCCGTGCTTCCTAGGTTCACCTGATACCGCACAGAAACTTGGTTTTAAGCTGACTTTATAGTTAGTAATTCATAATGCAAGTTCTCCTTGATTTGCCTCCAAAAATTCTCAATGCACAAAGACAGGACGATCAGTTAAGTTAAGAAAAGATCGTATGATCTTTACAAGGAATCGTTTTCTTCTCCGCTTGATTTGTCTCGTTAGATGAATACATTATGTAATTTGGCTCATAGCATGGGGAAAATACTTTGAATCTCTTATGCCATCAATGTTGAGGCAGTTTTCAATTATTTTTTCTCCATAACATTGCTAATTGTGCAATTTTAGGAACTCAACCGAGATGAACCAGCTGGTTTGGGTGGGCCTAACTGTGAGCGCTATGTTCTTGACTCAAGAGGTGCTCTTGTGGAACGACGAGCTGTGGTGGGTCGGGAAAGACTCATTCTTGGCCACTGCCTTGTTCTCTCTGTTTTGGTTGTGAGAATAAGTAAGCTACATATATCTTTTTTCGGTTTAGGTTCACTTAATTCTATCTTCTTGCATGTTTCAGGTTTAGAAACAATAAAAGGATTCCTTCAAGTGTCTTCTCGTAAATGTAATGGGCTTATTTAAAATGTATACAACTGCTAGAATAAGAGATATGCATTTTTTTTGCCTTTGTAGTTCAAATAAGATTGACTTTTAATTTGTCCAATGGTCTGTAGCTGTTCAACGAATTTTAGTCTGTAGGAAGTAGGAACCATTTCCCAACCATAATATGTCGGTTTGCGATTGTTATCCATTATTGCATCTTTGAGCAGGCCATTTGATAATTTATTTTCTACATGCCTACTTGTCTCAGCTTTTGTGTTGTACTTGTGCCTTGTGCATAATGATGTTGTGATGATCATCATAACCGGTGTTGTCAATGCGTTGTTGATCGATTCACTCAGGAGAGGCTTATGACAATCATTGATTATGACAATATCCTCCTGGGGCCTTAACTATGTTGAATTTGAACCTAGCTGCAGGCCAGCCCTTTTCTGTGTCAGCCTCATCCAGAGCCATAACCTTGGTCAAATCCTTAGCTCTTCATTTTGTATGAGCTCAACATATCGAGTCTGTATGTGGCACTAGTGTATTTTTGTGGCATTGGCCAAATGAAGATAGATGTCTTCCCCTCATTTTATCTTCTTGGTGCTTCTTCCAACTTCTTAATGTTCATCTTCATTTTATCTTCTTGCTGGCCTTTTGCACCCACTTTTCTACATGTATGTAACATATGTTAGGATTTATAATTTTGTTGGAAGCATAATCTAGCTACTCTCCCTTTCTCTCTCTCTCTCTCTCTATATATATATATATATATATATATTTCTTTATTTGTTGGAGGGGATTGAATTGTGGATGTGGGAAAGGCTGCCACCTTTTTTTGTGGCACATTGTTGCCATTGGACTGCCAAAGAAAGAGAAAAGTTTACTTGTTGAATAAGCAGTCAGAAGCTTTTTGATCTACATTGAAAGAACTAAATATTTAAACTCTCATTACTTTGTTCTTTGCAGGTCCAAAAGATGTAAGAGATGTGTTTTCACTTCTAAAAGATAGTGCAGCTGAACTTAGTGGTAGCTCTGACCCCTTAAAGCATCAGGTCCTACTTTTTTTTAATATGCTACATCCTATGGTGTCCTTTTGTTCTTTGGGTTTTGGGCTTGAAAATTACATGGTTATATAAATACAACATACTTATTAATATAGCTTCCTCCTGTGGGTTTTGTGCTATATTGTCAACCATTTGTCCTAACCTTTGATATTTTTTCTCCTTTTTTTGGGTCACATTTTGTAGGTCCCAAAGCTTCGGTTTACATCTTCTGTCACAAAGAAATAAAAGAAGAATTGCATATCTTTTGCCACCCTTATTATGTATCTCTATTACTGTTGTTCAATATCATATTGCATAATTTATTCACACTTGCACAATGGTGTAGAAGTTTGGTTTCTTGTAGAGTATCTCAATTTAAATTGTAGGACCCATGAAACCATATTTCACCTTGATTCAGCAGAAATTCCTAGCATGCAGTGAAAAAACATGTTTGGTGAGGATGTAAAATACTGATTGATAAAATGGGAATGCATTAGAATGAGCTGTAGCATGCAGGAATTGAGGGTTTCCAAGTTTTGTGTGTGCAAACTAATGCATAGAACTGTTTTTTTCTTACAGACTGCCCCTTTTTTTTTTTCCATCTTTACTGTTGCCTTGGTAATTTAATATTTGATGCTCCTTCTAGTCTTCTTTCCTCCCCACCCCCCACCAACCCTCAAAAAATCCATAACAAGAAAAGGTATATGATGATCCTTTCATTTCTCTGCAGATTACGTATAGCCTTCTTTTTTCTCTTGTAATAGCTTTGGTATCAGATGCATTGAGTGCAGCACAGGATAAAGAGTCTGTCTTGTCTCATGAGGCCCCTTTTAGGCACGAGTTTCAGGAAACAGTAAGTTGAAGAATAATACTGTGTTTTTCTTATTTCATAGTCTTTTAATCATTGTTTGAAAGTCATTGGTGAATCCTATTTCTGTAGGTGATAGCTGCTGGAAATGATCCAATGGTTGAAGGCTTTGTTGATTGTGTAAGGCTTGCATGGGCTGTACATTTGATGTTAGTACAAGATGGAATTGATGAAGGGGATGCTGCATCTGGTGCTTCATATATGCGAAATGGTTGCTCATGCTTGGAATTAATTTTCTCCAATAATGTTTTCCAGTTTTCTTTGGACAACATTCTTCGTACGGCAGCCTATCAGGTTTGTTTTTGATGATTTGATAGACTATTCATAAATTTTTTCCTTGCTACAGTCACCTTTTAATGAAATAACTCGAGTAACTTGTTGTTCTATCAATGTCATTATTGCTGGTCTTTCCACATTTCATTTCAATATGGTGACTTCAGGGTAATATTTGCCAACTCCTGTCCTCTTGTTAACTTCTGAACTGGACAGCTACACCCTTTTCACTTATTGCCAATTATATGTGCTCTAATGTGGTCTTGTGTCAATGAGAGAAGATTATACATTTTAGCTTTTCACATTTATGGTAAGTTGGTAACTTGTCTGTTTTTATAAGTTAGGAGCCAATATGGGCTGCATGGAGGATGGGAGGGCCTGTAAGCTCTAGATGCAGAGCTTCGATTATGTGAAGCCACTCCATGGTTAAGTTTATTAGCATATTTTTTTCTGTTTACAAATGGCTCAGAAGGCATTTTGGAAGGTACTTCAATTTTTCTTTCTTTATTCCTTTTTCCCCTTTGGGTTGGGGGCAGGCCTAAGATATGGATATGACCCATGTCTGAATGGGGCACAGAACCTGGCACCTGCGCTTTTGTTGGTTAGTTCCGGAACAAGCTAGCAGCTGTTTTGAGTCTTTGACTCAGTTTAGTGGATGTGTTTGTGCGAATGCATGTTTATGTTGGGTATTCCTAAACCTTTTCTAAATCATGGATGCACAAAATTGCCACAAACAAATGTTTCAGCTGGGCTATGGGAGTGTTGATCATTTGAGTTGCACTTCTTGTGCTGTTCTCTTGGCGAGCTAGCCTACCTGTGCTGGTTTAAGTGGATAGTCAAACCAAGCACAGTAATTCTAATCATTGGTAAGTTAAGGAAATGGAGATATTTTTTGGCCTCAATTTGCTAATTATTAGCATGAGATTGAATTAGTGTCAGGTATTTTGGTCCTTCACATATGGAAGATGGGGCTTAGGTTTGAGTGAGCTACTTAGTTATCTTAAGATTGAATCAATGTACTGGTATTTTGATGCTCGAAATATAGAACAATGAGCATCCATGTTCATCCATTCCGCTGAAAATTAAAACAGGTTTGAATTGTTTGATTTTCTATGGAGAATTATGGAATTATGTCGCTTGCTTTTGTCCCTAGGTATTTATGATTCATGAAACTCTTGTTTAGTGACTTCGGATACCTCCAGTTTAGTGACTTCTGATTCATCATACTCTCATTTTGCAATTTTTTTTACTTTGTTTTTTATAATTGTAAGAAAGTCACCATATTATTATATTGTAAAGAAGAGATAAGGCGTGAGCCCAAGCTGTATCTATTGTCTTGTGATACAATCCCAAGTGCCATTGTGCTGTAACTTAGCAACTGTGTGTGTGTGTGTGTGTTATTATTATTATTATTTTTTGATAAGAAACATTGATTTCATTAAAAAACTAAAAATTACAATGGACAAATCATAGTTGGACAAGACATCGCGCGCGCGTGTGTTATTGTTTATTCATAAATTGATCTTTTCAGTGTGCTGATTTTATATTTTTCTTAGGAACTTGGCTGATGTCTCTAATCTTTCCTTGATGATTTCTCACTGATCGCTGTGAATGCAATGATAATACCCCGAACACTGACATCAAACGTATGAATGACCTAGAGGGGTGTAAATAGAACTTAGCACTCAATGCGGTGTTAATTGCTCAATCAAAATCTAATTCACTTTAATACCCAATCAATTGAGGAATTCAAACCAAATTCCCAATTTTAAGCCAAGACCCATAAGAAGAATTCATTCAACAATTCCACATGTGCATGAGCATGATAAAATTGCAAGTTTGTAAAGATATGACTAGAATTGAAGGAAGCACAACACAGACACTTTTATGTGGAAACCTTTCTGGGAAAAACCACATGACTTTAGTCCACTTAAATGAATCCACTAGTTTAGAAGTAAAGTTATAAGGATTAAAATCTTATACCTCAACTAATATTATGGTTAAATGCTTTCTCGACTTGAACCTTCACTTTGGTGTCCACCATGATCTTGAACACTAGCGACTAGTTTCATGAACTCAATCAACAATCCACCTTTGGAATCCTCCTCCTATTTTTGGAATCCACTGTAGATCTTCAAACTCTAAAGATTTAACAGGTGTTCTACAATATCTCAACCTATCTCGTGAATGGTGTAGTGAGAAATCAAGGATTGATCCAATAGAGAATGGTTTTTTTGGATTATAGGAGACTAAGGTTTATCTTTTAAGCCTTTTCTATCTTTCCTTCGCTCTCTAGAGTCCCTCCTATTCCCTTGGATGTGAAAATACTGTCACACATATGTAGGGTCCCAAAATAGAGTTTGAGTGGGGCTCAAGAAAACTATAATCCGATAGACCACTCGAGCCGTGAGTTGGTGGTCATCGGGCGGTGGCTATTGGAATAACAATCCAGGCCTTAAGTTGGAAGATCGCTCGAGTGACCTAGGGACTGCTCGAACCATTTGGACCATGGTCTTTACTGGAAAACTCCCCGTTTGCTCCCTTTATGGATAATGACTGCACAAGTGCAAGGCTAGTGACCATCGAGAGGTTCTTATTGGTTTAAGCCTAAAACCAAGTTAAAGCTAGGCCTTTTGAGTACTAAAAAATGTTTCTTACCAAGGCCCATACCATAACTTTTGTAGTGTTTTAAAGTCATCTTTTGAGTTTCAAAATATTTTTCAATCAAGCTAGAAATCTTCAAATGTAGCACATAGCTCGAGCTTCTTCGTTACATCTTGCTTCAACTTTCATTAGCGTCATGACCGTGGATTTAGTTGAGATACAATTACATGTGACTTCACCGTAATTTGCCAATCACATCAATTTCTTAACAACTCACTTTAGTAGGTAATAAGTTACTTATGTCTTAGTAGAGAAATGTTTCCATTTGCATATATCTTTTGGAGAGACTTTAACTTCATTTATTTTTCTATTTTTACAGAATGATGATGAGGATATTATCTATATGTACAATGCTTATCTCCACAAGCTGATAACATGTTTTCTATCTCATCCGGTAGTTAGAGACAAGGTTAGTTAAAATTTCTTTATTATATATGCTCGTAGAATTAAATTTCTTCATTATATGTGCTTGTAGAATGTAACAACATCCTTTAAATACATAGGTTGGAGTAGAAGGTGAAAATCTCTGGTAATGATGAAGTGTTCATTCTAAACGGTCAAACACTCCTGTCAATTTTTGCATGTGTTATGGTAAAACATTTCTTATTCATCCCATTTCTCTTAGGCTATGGAAACGGATCCTGATTAATAAACTAATTTCTGTGTGATTTTTGCTTTACTGTGCTTTAAAAGTTATATCTATAGTGCGCAGTTTTTAATTTAAGGCTTCAAAATTTTCTATCTAGGTGATAGCACTCACACATAAAATAATCTATTCTCATGTAATGCAAGTGGAGTACTTGGGTTTCTACACATTAAGCTATCGAGACTTAGGTGAATGCTTTTGTTGGACACTTATCAAAAAAGTGCATGCTTTCTTGAGGAAGGAAATGAAGAGATGGAAATGGGTTCTCTTTGGGAGTTTAGGGAGAAGCAAGAAATTGTCTGAAGAGTTAAATGTTATTAGCCTATACCGATCCTGCTTATGCGGGGTTTTGGGAGAGGCAGGGTAGGTTGGATACAAACTAATCTTTTGTATTATTTCTGCACAAAGTGGATTGTTCTTAGGCTATGTAGCCAAGGACATTTGGTGGTTGAGGCATTCTTGTGTCCAAATCTGACTGTATAAAAGACTTTTGGATTTTTTTGGGGCTTCTGAAACTATTCAGACCTGATCCATAATATGTAACTTAGTTGGAACTCCAAAATTAAAAACCCCACATTGAAGCCTACCCCCTACCCATTACCCAAGAGCAAAATTTTTAAATTACTTTTGACACCTAAACGTTAATAAACATAAATAAAGAAACATTAGAGGCTTCATATAATGAGGCTCGAGTTGACCTTAGATGTAATTGAATGAGATCTGCCACAAGCTTCATTTGAGATTTCCAATTTTCTTTTCTCTTTTAGCCTGCTACATTTTGTAGGGGTTTATGAATTGAGGTAAAATTTTAACAGAACTAAGTGCTATGAATTACTGTCATCTCCGTGCACGCTTTGGTATCCCTGTTTGGAAGGAACAGAACAGGTGCTTATAAAGTTGGCAACTTTCTGTTTGAGTTATTTGGTTATCATGTTGGGTTGTTTGGTGGTTGGTTTGTTTGGTATAGCTTTGTAAATGGATTGTATGGTTTCTGCTTTTATTAACAAAAATTGTAATTTACTTTTCTTTTCAATATACACCTATAAGTATATATATCTATTTCTCCTTTCTGCATGCTTTTTACAACTCAATGTTGCAGGTAAAAGAAACAAAGGAGAAGGCTATGAGTGCCCTTAGTCCATACCACATGGCCAGATCACATGATTATATGCTGGACAATGGTGTACATTCTCAGCATGCTGCTGAAGCCACTCCTCAACCATTTGTCTCTCTCTTGGAGTTTGTGAGTGAAATTTATCAGGTTGGTATGTTTGTTAGGTGGAATGTTTTATGTTAACTCATGCCATCAATAAATGGCTTTAACAAGTAAGATTCTGAGGAGGATGCTGTAAGCTGAGTAATATTTGTGTGGGTCTGAAACTTCATTTGGATGTTTTCAGCAAATATACATTTTGATCACTGGTAAAATGTGACAGAGATAGTGATATAAGAATTATGATCCCTGGAATTTCTTAATGTGTGGGTTGTAAAGAAAAAGTTGAAGGATGAATGATATAATTGCTTACTGATTAACACCCACAATACAGAGGTAAACTAATGTGTAATGCATACTGTCATTTTATAGAACTTTTTCGAAGCTGTGGTTGCCAGTCATTACAGGACTATAATGTCATTATCCTGTTGAAATTGTGGGGTCAGGTGTGAGGTAAACTGATATGGGCATTTAAACAGTTGAGATATCCGAGACATTTGATTCCATGATAAATTATTGGTACATCATATCTTATATAATCTTTTCTCTATGAGGAAAACTTGAATGAGAGTTATGATAAATTAGGTCAGCATAATGGATGGTTGCAACTTTTCTTCCGTGCAAAAAGTAGATTAGTAGAATGTAGCAGTGCCTTAAAGTGATATGATTTAGGATTCATTGGGAACTGGTTTGTTACTGCAATCTCTTCGTCTGTTGTCAGAAGTGCAGTCTAAATAAATGATAAAGTACTGAACTTCTGAAACAGGTTTGCCTGGGCTCTCCAATTGTTCAAGTTATTAGATGAGACACTAATGAATTTTCAGGTTGATGACTAATTTTGGAATCAGTAATGCTGTATCTTTGAATGATGAGGTTCAGGGGGAAAAGACAAAAAGTTAGTTGTGATATCCGAAAGTGTTCCTTCTTGTCCCCCCAATCCCCACCCCACAAAAAAAAAAAAAAAAAAAGAAGAGAGGCCGACTACACAGTGATTTATGATATAGATTATTCACTTTAGCAATATCATAAAAGTGGTATGGACTTATCTTCAGCTGTATGATCGGTGGCTGATGTTCAGGAGATGTTTTGTGTGTGCTGGTCATTAAATCCCTCTTTATGTTTCTTTATTCTCACGCATATTTTTTTTCCGGTTCAGTTGTGGACTAAATGATTATATGACTGGGATTGTGCTATTAACATACTTGAATATGATTGGTTTATTGGGCATTACCATGACAACTTCTTGGACATCCTCCATACAGCATGAAATTCTATTTAAGGCTCTTCTTTCAAATGTTTTGTCTAACAAAATGAATATTATCTTCTTTTTTTGATAGAAATGAATACTATCTCCTAATCTCTTTTTTCTTGCCCTTCCTATTTGTTTTCATACTTTCATTATATCCTTGTATTAGATTTCTGAGATGAGTAATGATGACCTTTCTTCCATCATTCGTAATTAGAAAGAACCTGATCTGCTGTCTGGCAACGATGTGTTATGGACATTTGTAAACTTTGCTGGAGAGGACCACACTAATTTTCAAACACTTGTGGCATTCTTGAAAATGCTGAGTACGTTGGTATGTCAGTATTTTTCATTCAGTGGCTTGGTATGTGAATTATTATTCATAGTTTTTATTTTTTGTGTTCCTTGATTTTTTGTTCCTTTCAGGCTTCTAGTCAAGAGGGTGCTTCAATAGTCTTTGAGCTTCTTCATGGGAAAACTTTCCGTTCTATTGGATGGAGCACTTTATTTGATTGTTTATCAATTTATGATGAGAAATTCAAACAGTCCCTTCAGACTGCTGGGGCCATATTACCAGAGATGCAGGAAGGGGATGCAAAAGCACTTGTTGCATATTTGAATGTCCTTCAGAAGGTGTAATTGTATTTTTTGTCGCTCCTGTTTGTTTAATCCACATCTCTTAGCTTTCGTTTTTATGAGATTGTTCAGTTATTAATGTGAAAAATATCTGCTGATAAATATGAAAACTTATGTAATTGAAGGAGTAAGAAATCTGGTGCGTTCTATGGAGTTGCGTAATTAGAATTTTTTACGGCAAAAGAGATTCAGGGCAAATCCTGTATGAGAGAGTTAATTCAGCTTGTGGATAGTCTCAATTGTGGTTTCTAGTTTTTGTATCTTGCAGTTTTTAGCTTTTGTATCTTGGTTGGATTCCTTTTCCACCATCGATGTACTAATATTTATTTTTAGTAAAACTTAGGCTTCCTAAAAAAAATGCAGTTTGGTGAATTATAGTACTGTAGCCTTTTGTTGCTTTGTATAGAGTGACCGAAATTAGCTTTGTAAAATTAACCAGATCTTCAGCACTTACATGTATGTAAAAGGTTTTTTATTAGTGTTTTTAGTCAATATGTTTCTTTTTGCTATCGTGGATCAAATAATGTTTTGTCCTGTATCCTATCTACCATTGGGGTTTCCCACATTATCAGGTTTTACTACCTTTCTACTTTTAATAGATACATTGTCCAAGGGTATACCCTGAATCCACTCACATGTGAGAACGTACATGTAGTTACACTTTATGTCTGTCTCTGATAATGGGTTGTAAATGTTACTTGCTTGTGTGTAGGTAGTTGAAAATGGGAATCCCATTGAAAGGAAGAACTGGTTTCCTGACATTGAGTCCTTATTCAAGCTCCTTGGTTACGAAAATGTGCCTCCTTATCTGAAGGTTGCTGGCTCTGTTTTGTGCTGCTTTTCGATATGATTATCTTTATCTGAAATTTACTCCTCGTCTTCATGAAGGTCGTATGCTGCAATGAATTCTTCTACTGCTCATAGTTTTCTTCTTGTTTTGCATCAATTTTAGGGTGCTTTACGTAATGCCATAGCTACTTTCATTCAAGTTTCTCCAGTCCTAAAAGATACTATTTGGAGTTACCTAGAGCAATATGATCTGCCAGTGGTTGTGGGATCTCATATTGGGAGCAGCATACAACCAATGGCCACCCAGGTTGGTGTTATGAATGGCATCTAGTATAGTTTATCATGGATATCACTGTTCAGGAAACGTGAGATTGTTAAATTCAATTATATACTTTATGTTATTTGGTTATATTTTTTTGGACATTATACACCTCTGTTGCCTTGTGAATACTCTGCCACAACACTGGTCCTTGTTAGCAGCATAAGCTTTTAGAGTAGTTGGCGGTACATCAATGATAAAATCTTTATGGAAGATTGAATGATTCCACAAGCCGAGGGTTGGAACTCATCCAAAGAAAAGGAATCAGTAATGTAATTGTGGAGACTGACTACTTGGAAGCAGAAAGACTCCTCACACATAACATTGAGGATTCTCACCCCAGCAGAGCCTTAGTCGCAATCTGGAAGAGACTAATGGAAGAGACACATGGTCCTATCATCCATACACTTAGGGAAGGCAACCAATGTGCGGATACATTGGCAAATCTTGAACTTGCCTCATGGCAGATTTGACTAGCATAACTTTTTCTAGGAATTCTCTGTAGTTTGTTTTTAACATTTCCAATGTACCGAAAAAAAAAAAAGAATAAAATCTATATTAGCCAAGCAGTAATATATTTAAACACGCCCTCTCACGCGTGGGTTAGATTTATGAGCCAAGCACGTGGATGGCCTTTGATTAGTAGGGTGACAATGAGATTCGAATGCAAGGCAGCCTACTTTGATACCTTGTTGAACCACCAGCTTAGCTTTTAGAGAAGGTGTAACCATGTAAGTTAAGCATTTGTATACTTCCCAATTATTTTAGCACCCGGCTGAATCCATGCCTAGAGAAGTATCAGGGATTATAAAATTTTTGGAATTATACCTTTACTTATTTGCACAATGCACATATGAACATAACAACTTGTACTCTTGGAAAATGTTTATAAACCTTTCCCTTTAAACTTTCTTCTGTGAGAACCTTATTAAAAAAAATTTCAATAAAATTTCTTGCTGCATCTGTTACCAAATGAGAACCATTAACAAAACAGTAATTGATTACCTTTCTATGGTGTCTAATGGCATTGATTTCATCCTTTACATCAGAGTAGTCGGTGTTCCTTTTTGTTTCAAATTTGGAAGGTATTCAATGAGTTTGCTTTGAAGCTGTTAACTTTGACATGAGAATTTATCACTGAAATTTGAAACCTAAAATATGCAGTAACACATCACATTTTTAGATGCCAAACATCTAGGTTTTATGTCCCAATAAGTTACTAAATATACCAAGCATACATTCTTTTTTCCAGATATAAAATCCTAGACATTGCTATAGGGGAAGATTTCAGCATCATTGATTTGAGATGCTTAGTGTTGCTATTCTAAGTTTCTAACCATCAGGAGACATGCTTTTTAGTAATGTGAGAGGTTAATCCCTGGTTGTTTTACTTAAATTCAGTGACCAAACCGGCCCAAGCTGGGTTGTGTTATGCATGTGAACTGGTTTTTAGTGGAAAATTTTTCGTTTTTAGATGTTGCCATTTGATTGCAATGAAATGCTGTCCAAAAAGATTTTACTGTACTTGAGGTGCAATCTTAAACATTGTGTTATAACGTACATGTTGTCATGAAAGTTAAGTTAAGCATCCCCTGGAACTTCCGCTGCAGGCAGCCTTTATTTTGTTAGATATATATTGGAGTGTCCTTTCTTGATTTAGACAGTTATAACCAGAGAAATTTAAATCTCTATTTGCAAGAGAGATTAAATATCCTTCTCTCCATTGAACTATGTCACGACCCATAGTTCTGTTGGGTGTACTCCCTAATATTTGTGACAATGCTATGGATCCTTTCAACTTTCAAGTTTCCCTTATTCTGTATTCTTGTCTTGTAAAACTTCTTTTGGCTGTTATCTATTGTCTCTGTTTTGGTTTTGTTGTAAATATATCTTTTGAACTTGCTGATTTTACTTTCGTTAGTGGGAAAAGTGTTTGAACATATACAAGCCGAATATATAAGAGTATGACTTATTTGTGCTTTCAAAATGTGTGTGGTTATACGTGCTTTATTGTGCAGGTTTATGACATGCGATTTGAATTGAACGAGCTAGAAGCAAGAAGAGAACAATATCCTTCAACAATATCATTCCTAAACTTATTAAATGCTCTTATTTCTGAGGAAAGAGATGTTAGTGACAGAGGGCATAGGTACTAGGCTTTAATCTGATATCTTTGGCGCAGTTTCTTTTCATCTTTTCCTAATGTTGGGTGACTTATTTTGCAGATTCATTGGCATCTTTAGGTTCGTATATGATCATGTATTCGGGCCATTTCCACAGAGGGCTTACGCTGATCCTTGTGAAAAGTGGCAATTGGTTGTTGCTTGTCTTCAGCATTTTCGCATGTGAGTCCTGCAGTTTTGGTCTGAGGGCTTGCTGTGAGCTTTTGGCTTTGATTTGCCCTTATTGAAATAGAGAGATGTTTATATTGTTGATTCTGATTTACCTGAAATATGTCTCTTCTAGTGGTGTTTATTGTCCTTTCTGCCCCTTCATTCCTGTGGAGTTATTTCTCTGGCCTCATTATTGCTGTTCTATTTCTTTGGACAAAAGAGCTTCATTTGGGATTGAATAAAGAGGTTGTAAAGTTTTCTTTTTGTCTGATATGATGTGCAGGATATTGACCATGTATGACGTTAAGGATGAAGATATTGACATTGTCGTTGATGAACCTCCACTGTCTGCGGGGGCACAATTGGCTCCACTCCAGATGCAGCTTCCTGTCATAGAATTGCTGAAAGTATTCACTTCCTTTTCTTCTTCTTAGTATTTCTTCTTGTTGGTGCTGCTGATGTGATTCCATTCTAATTATCATTTGTTACTTTTTGGTTTTTCTTTTCTTTCTTCTAGTTGTTTAATTTAATGTATTTATTGTAGTTGTTTATATAGGTGTCAGCATAGATTTGCTTTTCTACTAAGTATATGCTCAAATTTTATGTTGCTATGTAATTAGACTTCTGTTCTTTGGCTTATCAAGTTTCTTTCTTAACTTATTATCTTTCGGGGAGGGGCTGCATGATATGTCAATTGCACTATGTTGATGCACTATGATAGTTTAAGAGTCTTGGGGATGCTTTTCAGGTTACAACTTTTGCTGTGGTCATCCTTGTTAGCAACTTTGTGTGATCTTACATCTTAGAGTGCTGTGGGATTTGTACATATTCTCTTTGGTGTTTGTTTGTTGGATAATTAGAAGTTCAACATGATTCAGAATAGAAGCAACATCACCTTATGGTTCAAGAATAAGAATAGATTGTTGAGTCCAGGCATTCTGTTTTGGTTGAGCGTAAGCTGTGTTGTTGCCTGTTGGACTAGGCCTGAATGGCATTTTTGGATGCTTGCTTCAGTTGTTTGGTTGATCTGAGCTTGTTGATAAGCATTAGCTTTTGCATTAGACTGCTTTGAATTTCTGTGGAATTTGACACTATTATTCTGGCTTGGTGTTTTAAGGTACATTAGGGAGATGGAAAACATCTTTTGCTTTGATCAGTAGTTTGTGGTGCATCTACTGTCACTGAGGCTGTGTTACACCAGCCTCTGCTATTACAGTGTCTCGTTTTCTTCAGCTCAATGTCTCCTGTGCTTGCCTTTTGAGATTGTGAGCTTAGCAGACTTGGTTTGTCTGGGATTCTGAGAAAGTCATAATATTCTACATCTTATCATTATCTTCCTGCGCAGTTTGTTCAAAGAATAATTTAGTTATGAGGCTCCTTTTTGTCTGATTGGTAGTGGTCACCTGATTTGATGAGCATCATGATCTATTTATATTTTTACTCTTAAAAAGGACCGGTCATTAAATACTCTTGTATGGCAAATGGCTCTAGAAAGTTAACCGGTGTGGTTCTCCTAGCTCGGATGCCCAGTGAAGTCCTCTACCTGGGCTTGTTCTCTTTCCTAAAAATAGAGAAGAAAGAGGTGAAATATTAGCAATCTCTTCATTTGTAGTTCTATCTCTTATGCTTTATAGCAAAGACTTTTGGCTTTGGCTGGAATTAGTTATGGGAGATTTATTTGTTATTTTAATCTTTTGGTATAATTTTTATCAAGGAAATTAAGGCTATAGCCATTTAGCATTGTGTAAATTTTGAGGACAAGTGTTATTCAAAAGTGAACTATACGGTAGATTGATTTTCATTTATAGTCTGTGTTACGAAAAATTTGAACGGGGGTCTTTGAATGCCTCAATGAGATTCACTCTTGGTGACTTCTTCTTTGTCTTAGATACAATGATATTTGCTTTTACTTGGAAGTTCAGCCTTAGTGGAGGAATATACTTAAGTTTGATGATGACTGTGTTTTGGTTGTTGGGAGACATTCTAGTGATTTTGAAGGAAATACATTTTTTTTTTGTTTTCCAAGCTAGTCTAGACATTTCATTCCATTGAAATGGAGATTTGCATCTTGCAATTTTGATCTCTGATTGAATCGAAACCACTTTGTGCCTTGCATTCCTTTGAGTTCTAACCATTTGCAATTTTGATCAAGGAATGACATTGATTGGATAACACAAGTTCCTTTTTTTCCTGGATATTTGAGGTTGTATAATGTCTATATATTTTGTGAAATTCCTTCATGTTTGCATTGCTAAGTGGTCTGGTACAGTTTGCCTGTAAATGTAAAAAGAAGCAATTTCAATTATTGAAAATTAGGAGCATCTGACCACTTCTTTAGCTTTTTGAGTAGATTCTTATAAACAGAAAGTGTTTCTTTAAATGATGTTGAATCTATATCTATGTATATTTTCCTTTTCAGTTAGTTATAGTTGCGTCTCTAGTTTGTTTTGGTGTCAAGTTAATTAGATATGTGATTCTTGATGATTTAGCCGGGTGGATTGCTTTTTCTATTTGCTGTGTTTTTGTTGAGATTTTGAGCCTTTTGCCTGTTAATGACATCATCTGATATTTTTACAGGATTTTATGAGTGGGAAAACTGTGTTCCGAAACATAATGGGTATTCTTTTATCAGGAGTCAATTCCATCATTAACCAACGCACCACTCAAATTTATGGGCAACTTCTAGAAGATGCTGTGCTCCTCTCTTTGGAAATCATATTACTTGTTTTGGAGAAGGATGCAGTTGTTTCTGATTTCTGGCGCCCTCTATACCTGGTGTTTATTTCAAATATTCAGCATAATCCTTTTACCTTCTCTTGGGGTGTCGTTTTTTGTTATGTTTAGTAGACTCTTTGTACTCCATGCTTTCCAAGATGTCTAGTTTTACATCGAGAGTTCTGAGAATCTACACACTTTTTTTTTGGCTGGGAATTTCACTTGTGGGCTTTGATGTTGAACTGCTCCTCTTTAATTGATGGCATTTGTCTGTAACCTATCTCAGATGTAGTTAATTTGTGGAATTTGGAGAAAGCTTAGATTTTGTATTGATAATTAGTTGTTTCGACATGACACCTGGCATGCACAGGTTTTGCTAGGAATGGTTACACCTATTGAACTTGATTATTGCTCACGGTTTAGATTAGATCAATGAAGCAGGTTGGATCATTATGGCATGAACATTATTGGTTTTCCAACACATGCATAATTTAATGTATCAAGAAGCCATCAACTATAAATGTTAGTCTAGCAATGGATGTCATCATTTATTTGACACTTTGTAAAAGAAAAATAAAAGGAGGTTGTTATTATATACTTAACATAGTTGATGTTTTTTGGTGCTATATGTCTTCATCATCTTGTCTGGAATTTCTTCAGACTCTGTTGACTGACATTATGTAATGAATTTTTTCTTTTTTGAATTTGATGGCGTTTAGAACTGTTTACAATTTGGCCTTACTTTTTAGATATATGTAGTTTTGCACTTAGTTGGCAGAATGAGTAATAATCTAGTATTTATTAAAGTTCAACTGTTAAAGTTGAATATATTGATTGTGTCCTTCGATTGAATAGATAACTTCAATCTTTATCTGGCTTTCTTCTTGACACCTGATGAGGACTTCTAATGACTTCCACTTGTTTCTCATTAACCATGCAGCCTTTGGATATCATACTCTCTCAGGATCATAATCAAATTGTTGCATTGTTGGAGTATGTTAGATATGATTTCCGGCAACAAATTCAACAATGCTCCATCAAAATTATGAGTATTCTAAGGCATTCCTTTCATTCACACACTGTTTCTTGCTTTTCGTTCTGATGTGATTTAGCTTATAATTCATTTCATGCTGAGTGTTGACGACGACAATGATTTTGTGCTGTTCTTGTATGACAGTTCTCGTATGGTTGGGCTTGTAGAGTTGCTTTTAAAATCAAATGCCGCAAGCTGTTTAATTGAGGATTATGCTGCCTGCCTAGAGTTACGGTCAGAAGAGTGTCAGATTATAGAGGACAGCAGCAATGATTCTGGTGTTTTAATAATGAAGGTCAGTCCTTGTTCCTGGCATTACTTGTTTATTGATTTATCTTTTTGTGGTTATTTTGCCCCCAACCAACTTATGATATGTTCACTCACTTCCATTTTACAATTTTTATACATTTCTGTCTTTACACAATTGCAGCTTCTCATTGATAATATTGGTCGACCAGCTCCAAATATCACACATTTGTTACTCAAATTTGATCTTGATACCCCTGTCGAGAGGACATTACTGCAGCCCAAATTTCATTACAGGTTTCCACCGGTCATAGAACTATTGAATGTTCTGATGTTTAGTGCTTGTATATATGGATCATGACTTATTCACTTATATGTTGTGCACAGTTGCTTGAAGGTCATTCTTGATATATTAGAAAAGCTTTTGAAGCCTGATGTCAATGCTGTGCTTCATGAATTTGGATTTCAGGTTAGATGGTCCTTGCTTAATATAGAATTTATGGTTTCTCATTACTTTTAGTGAACTATCAACTCATGTCTTTGTGCAGCTCCTTTATGAATTATGCTTGGATCCACTAACATGTGGTCCTACAATGGATATGTTGAGCAACAAAAAATATCAGTTTTTTGTCAAGGTACAACTTGTAATACAATATAACATTGTAATTATTCAGGGGCTATATTTCTGCTGATATCTGGTAGTTGGTTGTTTATGTTAATATGGTCTTTTTATCATGGCAGCACCTTGAAACAATTGGTGTTGCTCCTCTTCCTAAGAGAATTAGCAATCAGACACTTCGCATAAGCTCCCTCCATCAGGTTTGTATCCGAGTCAAGCACTTTGGTGTTTTGTTGTATTGTACCATCCAACTGCTGAGGTGCATGCAGTCTGCTGTAGTAATATCGTCGTCAGTTGTAATATGTGCTGTTCACCTGAAAAAGTGTGCGCATGAATGCGAGTGTATGCAGTAATTGTATTATGCATGCATCTATGCTTCTGTTTTGTCAATGGGTTAATGTTGTTACAATACTTGCTGTTACGTGGCATAATATCAGTACAGTGGTCCATGTCTGCGGCCAGTTTTGTATGATGGGTTATGTTTGGCTTCCCACGGCTATTGCAAATAAATAAATACATGGTCAAGTGCTATCATTCCTTGTTTTCAATATTAATGAGTGCCTTTGTCATGCTTTGGCAGTTGGTTTGTTAGATTATTTCTTCCGGCCGATTGATATTGATTTGAGCACTTGATATCCTATAACACTTTTAGCCACAAGTTTATCATCTATTTTTCTTGGTTGTAATTTGCATGCGTGTATGTAGTTGAATGATGCAATAAGGTCGTGTTTCCTTTCTTTGATTGCATGCTGGCATTCGTAACTCTTAAAATGTTGAATGCCAATGTCTTCTCAAGGCTTGTTTGTTTGCCATGATTCATAATCCATTGAATTTGTAAGTGTTTAGGGGTAGTTTGCTTGTTGGGGGAAATTTACCTCGAAATCCCTCATTCTTTGTTCGATAGAATCTCCTTTATAGATTTGTTGCATCTATTTCATACACTTGAGCAACCCAGTTTGTTTGTCAATTGAAAGAAGAGGAGACATTCAAGAACGCTGGATAAGAGAATGGAAAAGAAGAGGAAGCTTGATAATTATTGTCTATTTGTTAGAGAGAGAGAGAGAGAGAGAGAGAGAGAGAGTTCCGCTGTAGCACTTGGCAATTAAGAGGAAAAAAAAAGAGTGAAGAGAGAATGAGAATCGAAAAAATATGTGGAAATTATTAGTCTATGAAGTATTGTTCTTCTGCTAAAATTAAGCCAATTTTATCCACTCTTGAGGTGATTTTGTGATAATTATGTGTGTAATTTTTCCTTTTCTATCTTTCTCCACTATTTGAACAAATCTCACTCCGATAAATGGGGACCTTATTAAAATTTCACTTCTATTTTTTCTCCTACCTCCCTAAGGGTCCGTTTGTTTAGAAAGATAATGCAAGAAAGAGAAAATTTTAAAATTTTACATGTGTTTGTTTAACATGAAATAGAAAATAATAGAAAAAATAATTTTCTTCCATACTTAGATTTTCTCACATCTAACTAATTTTTTTTTTCTTGAAAAAAACACAAGGAAAAGTAAGAAAGTTGTCTTCAATAACCTAACTTCTCATTTTACCCCTATTTTTCTTAAAATATTCATTAGTTATTAATTTTAAAAAACTTAGTATAAATTAGGCTAACCATATAATTTGGTCTAGAGATCAAGGTAGTCGATTCTTGTCTTTGAATTTGGTTATGAGCCAATTTTTTTAAAATTTGAATAATAAAAAATATTTTTTCCTTCTTTGGACCAAGTTAAAATAATTAAGGATAATTTAAACAATTAGAAAAAATTTCTTGTAACTTTCCTTTCTTTCAAACAATGAAATGAAATTGTTTTAAAATTTTCTTAGAAGTTTTTCATGCTAACCAAATGCATATATGAAAATATATTTTCTTTCACTTCACTTTCTATGAGTATCAGGTTACTTTGTTTTGCTCTTTTGTTCTTTAATATTTCAATTTTCTAGTTGTGATTGTAGAAATATTATGCATCTTATAGAAGAATGGAATGAACTTACATTGTGATTATACCATTTACCTAATATCTTGGTCGGACTTGGTGTATGTGTGCCCAAACATGCACACACAAACTGGGTCAGACTTCAGTACTTTGGAGTTGACCTCCTTAATTTGGATGACTTTACATTTCTTTGTTCAAAAATGGTTATAAAAACTCTTATCAGATCCTTTTCTGAAGATCCTTTTAACTATTCCGTTCTCTTGTCTGCTTCTCCATAATGCTGCTATTTGCTACAAATGTCTATCTGTCTTCACTTTGCCTTTTCATCCCTTTTATTTTGTCTTTGGTAGAGGGGTGGGCTTGTTTTATGTGTGTGCTGGGAAAGAGAGAGGGGTTGGGGTTGGTGTAAAGTTGTATTAAAAGGCACCAAGGGGCTACAACACTGCACAGAAGCCAAATAATCTAAACTCTTCATAAATTTTGAAAAATGCATCCGGGGAGGGCTTCATCATCCTCCTCCTCAACCTACAAAACTGGGCTGCAAAAGAAGTCCTATTATGTTTCTAACAATTTGAACAAAAAATTAAAAGTTTGAATTGTGATTGATTCTGCATTTAGATACTAACTATATGTATTTTATGTTCCACCGGTCCACTAGACAATGGCCAAATCATTGATTCTAAACTTTGCATAAAAGTTTGAAAAATTCATTAAGGGAGGGTTTCATCTTCCTCATCAACCTACAAAATTGGGCTCTGAAAGAAGTTTTATTATGTTTTTAGCAAATAGTAAAAGACAAGTTTGAATTGTGATTAATTTTGCATTTGATTTGTATGCTGAATTACACTTCGTGGATCACCTATTAATGTATGTGATACTATTTTTCCAAAGTTTTATTCTTACGAGTTGCAACTCTCCTTGCCTTTCCCAGAGAGCATGGTTATTGAAGCTTTTAGCAATAGAATTGCACACTGGTGAAATGACAACTTCTACCCATCGAGAAACATGTCAAAGTATTCTGGCTCATGTTTTCGGGCAGAACATTGCTGAATGGGGCACTGACCATAATATATCTCACTCTATCCTTCAAAGTAGTCCTGCAAGTGGTGGAACTACAACAATCAGTAAGAGTAAGGTACTCATGGATAAAATTGATTGATTGTTTTGTAACATGTTTTGGGGCAGTGTTTGTTTAGTAAGTTATGCAATACATGTTTTTTGACGTGACAATAGCTGTTATCAGTGCACATACATTTTCCAAATAGACAATATTAATTTTGTGGTGCAACAGTTTTAGTTATGTTGCAAGGCCTCGGAATTCAAAAGTTTTTTCTAGGAAGTACTAAAATAAAATGATTTATGTTGGCAGAGGAATGTATGTTTTTTGTCCTATTGTATTGCATGTTAAAGTTGTTAAACAATCATTTACTCCAAAAGTTTAAGCTGAAGACCTCCTGCTCTGATACCATGTTAAATAATCATTTACTCCAAAAGTTTAAGATGTTGAAAAGGGTGTAACCTAAGTATTTATACTTCAACAGAAGTCATTTTGCATTTATTTTTTTGTTGACATACCAGCAAGTAAGAAGAAAGTGTCAGTTGGGATGCTGATCTTTCTAGGTGCCAAGAGACTTTGATATCGTCATGTCATATGGAGATACTAAGGATATCGCGCTTATTGAAAAAATGGAAAAAAAATAATCATCCGTTACTAGTCCTTGCTTCTTTTCTAACATGTAATTAGTTGGTTGCTGAAATCGTTAGTGTGATTTATTTTATAACATTTTGTTGTTTTTTTTTTGTGTGGATGGGGTGTTTGGAACAAGAATGCATTCTCTTCATTTCACATGAGATGCAAACAAACCAATGCTACTTGGATAGAATTTGTTGAGTCATACAATGAAATTATGAGAAAAAGTCATTGAACGACGCCTAAAAGTTGAGACTACAGTATCGAAAAATCAGTTTGGGTTTATGTCGAGTACATCAACTATGGGGGCTATATATTTATTGAGGACACTCATAAAAAAGTATAAAGAGAAGAAGACAAATCTTCATATGGTATTTATAGATTTAGAAAATTGTATGATGAAGTACTTAGACATATAATATGGAGGGTGCTTGAGAGAAAAGGAGTGACGAATAAGTATATTGAGTTTATAAAGAACATGTATGACGGGGTTATGACTACAATTAGGTCTTCCATGGGAGAAAGTAAAGAATTTTCAATCATGGTGGGATTACACCAAGGATCGACCCTAAGTTCATACTTATTTGCCCTAATTATGAATGAACTCATTAGACACATTCAAGATGATGCCCTACGGTGTATGCTATTTGCAGGTAATATTGTATTAGTAAATGAAACTATTAACAATAAGTTGATAATTTGGAGAGAGACACTTGAGTCGAAAAGGTTTAAAATAAGTAGGAGTAAGACTGAATATATGCAATGCAATTTTAGCAATAAAAGAAGTAGATATAGTGAAAAAGTTAAGATTGAAAATTAAGAAATACTAACAAGTAAATAATTTAGATATCTAGAATTGATAATTAAAAATGATGGAGAGATTGGAGATAATGTAACTCATAGAATTAATGCTGGTTGACTTAAGTGGAATAAAGCCTCTGGCATATTATGTGATAGGAGGATACTAATAAAATTGAAAGGTAAGTTTTATCGAACAACACAACAATGTTGTATAAGACAGAATGTTGGACAACCAGAAAATAACAGTGACAAAATGAGTGTAGCAGAAATAAGAATGCTAAGGTGGATGTGTGAAAAAACTAGAAAGAATAGAATAAGAAATGTCCGTATTAGAGAAATGGTAGGAGTAGCTCTAATTGAGGATACCTTAAAGAGAAAATATATTAAGATGGTTTGTTCATATTCAAAGGAGGCTGATAGAGGCACCGGTTTGAAAAAGTGAGATAATCTTTCTTAATGGTACTAGAAGTAGGGGTAGACCTAAATTAACATTGAACAAAATAATAAGAAAATATATGAAAATATTTAACTTAAATGAGCGTATAGTGCATGATTGAAATGAATGGTGAAGACGGAAACATATAGCCGACCTCAAATGATTGGGACATAAGACTTAGTTTGATTTGGTTAATCGCTACCAATTCAATGATTATGATGAATTTTATCAGCAAATTAATTTCAAATAGTATTATTGATATCAAAATCTTATAAGTAGAAAGAAGCTCTCCACATGCGGGTAAGAAGCCTTCATCTAACCCTCCTTGCCCAGACTCACAGTGGTGAGAGACCTATGCACTGGCTGCCCCCTTTTATATTGAAATCTTAAAATATAGTAGAGAGAAATAAGAGTGAAAGGTGGGGATACATAGAAATTAGACACACATGTAAGAATGGAAGATTTTTGCCATGGAGGTCGAAGAGGATAGGTGTCTAGTGCCATCTTGTGAGGAAAATTCCATCCCCAACTGAAAAAAGGATCAAGTGGAGCTTGCTTTACTAAAGCAGTAAGAACTAAATGAAAGTTTCTTCTTAGAAAAGGTCATCAATGAGGATGACAGTGTGAGGTGATTTAGGCAGAATACATTATGCAATGGTCATTCCAGCTGGGCCTTGTGTTATTTGATGCTACAAATATATTGCTATATGATATTGGTGAAGCAGATTAATTTGTTTAATAGTTTTTGCCTGTTAAGCGTATAGGATATATGTATGTATACTGTTGTTTGGGCAAGGATACAACAAAATAGCAAGTCTTAATGTGATATATTTGAAGTCCTTCTGGCTAGTAAGTTAAGAGTAATTGGCTTGCTGTGCCTTTTTCCCTTGATTCATAGATCGAGATGTGGCAGCCCGTGTCTGAAAGTTGTCTTTCTTATTTAGCTTCACATTTTGTTGTAATGTCTTTGCAATGTTCGAGAATCAAGATTGGCCTTTTGAAATTGTGTTTGCTTTGATTTTTTATAAATATTTTGCCGGGAAGCCACCATGTGGTTTAGTTGTTTTTTCCCATTAAATATGCCAAATAAATTTCAAGGAGGTCTCACTTGGTCCCTAGTCCATGAGTTTATCAATAAGTTACATTGCAAAGTGCAATGCATAGTTTGTACCCTTCAAAATGATCCTAGTCGTTTATAAGATTCAAATTGGACGTCAACTATGGCTTAATTGATTCTTGAAGATATAGTGGCTTCAAAAATTGGGCAAATTTTATTTTGACACTAGAAAGAAAGAAAAAAACAAACAAACAAAAGAGTTCATCAAATTGGATAACATTTTATGATAACATCCTTGTGATCTGCAATTTTAATTGCATTCTTGGAGACATGGTGCACCATCATCGGAATCGATTGATTTAGAACACAATTCTTTTCCATTTCCTTGCCTATCTTCAATGAATATTTTTTTCCTCCGCTATCTTTATGTTTTTTCCTAAATGCAGAGACAAATAAGGTTGAAGCATTACATAGCAAGTTTGTCCACATTCCTTTTGATAGCCCTTTTTCTTTTGTTTTTTTTGGGGGGCGGGGGGTGCGAACATTAAGAATCCAATAGCTGTTTAAACATGGGTTTGTTTATCTAATACATTTCTTTGATTTAGAAAGGCAGCAATCTTGCCTTTCAAATTGGCTTCTGTAGTTTCACTAAACAATTAAAGTTATCCCATTCCCACCGAGTGGGACCATGTGAGACAGGTAAGTGATCACCCTGTAGCCTTTTCTGTTTAGCTCATTCTTGGCCTATACAACTTTCACAAGCACTTGGCCAGTTACCAAAAGCCAACAAGATTCTTTACACTTGTGCTCAAAGGGTCTTCTTAGTAGTAGCTAGAAGTTTAAACCTAAGAAGGTGAGTAGTTGATACGAGTTTAATGAGCGAATCACCTTCCCAGCAGTGAGCATGCGAGCCTAGATGCAAGTTTCACTGATTGAACCCACGAGTACCCGAAAGTCGATACCACTAGATAAGATAAGAATCATACTTGTTTGTAGTCATGTGTGTGTGTGTGTGTGATTTCCCTTTTTCCTCTTTTTTGCCAGTCAAAACAACTTTTTTAAGGAATTCTTTATTTCTTGATGAAGTAAAGGAATCATTGCTTTTATAGGCATTATGGTTCCAAATAGAATGAAGCATTTTTAACTTCTCAGAATATATTTAATCTGCTATGTTATTGCTTCTTCAAAGTAATCTGCATTTTCTTCAAGATATTGGGCGGATTCCTTTTCTTTTGATTCTCATTTAAATTGGGCTGCTCTTTTGGAGTCCATGATTGTTTATCCTCAATGTGCTCCAGTAGTTTTGGCTTTCTTTTGACATTGGAATTCTTTTATTTTTTTTTGATAAAAGAAGGAATTTATTATAGAATGGAAGAAAGAAAAAACAAATTACGATATTGACAACAAGATATACTCAAAAAGAATAAAAGCCAAATACATATCAAAGAACAATCACAATGAATGTTAAAATAGCGGAGCCTTCCAATTCAGTTAGAGATTGGACAAGTCAAACCTCCAAAGCTCCCTAAAGCTTTGGACTGAAGTGAAGTCATCCTAACAGTTCTTTTCCATACTAATTCTAAGGAAAATGGTGGTTATTGAAGATTCTTTCATTTTTCTCCATCAAAATACACCAAATAGTTGCCCCAAATGCACAATTCCACTTCCTTTGCTTCCTTTTTATTCTCAAAAGTTAATCTGCTAGATCTTTTCCATTATAAAGGGACAAACCCAAGCCTCATCGGTCATCTAGAATGAAAATATGAGCATTGGACTCTTCACTATTGAAAAAGTGAGACAAATATCAAGGTTCAAAGATTTATAGGGCCTCTGCACCTGTAACAAATCATTAGTGTTTACCGATTAAGGACAACAGACCAAATGAAAGCCTTTGTTTTTGAGGAGACTTTGACTTTCCAAATAAATTTGGCTAACGAGAATGAATCTTCGTTTTGAGGGCTAACGAGATGTGAATGAAACAATCTACAAGAAAATTCCTCATTATTTTCTCTAATTTTCTAGTTACTGCTACAAAAATTATAGAGAGAAATAGTATAAGGAGATGCCAGACAAACAAGTTTTTACCAAAGTAATCTTTCTTCCGGGAGAAAAATTTGTCCTCTTCCAACCATCTAATCTTTTGCTCATTCTTTCAATTATTCGATCCCAAAAAGA